GCTCGTATTCGGTGATTCGATCTTCGTCGCCACTTTTGTCATTTTACCAGACTGTGGTAAAGAGCTGATTTTGGGTATGGATTTTCTGCGAGTACGGTGCTGTCATCAACATTCCAGAACGTATCATCACTTTTTCCGCCCATCCTCACGTCGATGCCACCACTGAAGAACAACTGCAACGTTTACGTGTAGCCGATGATGTGATGCTCCTGCCGACATCTTGCTACATTGTGTCGGTGTTATGTGAACGGCCGTGCCGTAATGAGGTGATAGCGGAGCGAATAGACACGCTATTGCTTACGCAAGGTGTTTTAATGGCGAGAGGTGTTCTGGCACTAACTGATGGACGGGCAGAAGTGCTCCTCACCAACTTCAGCAACGAGCGTCGTCACACCCAGAAGGGCGCCACAATTGCCTACTACGACTACATGGACCAAGCCAGAGATTGCTTCGCTTTGTAACCGGACGACACGACCTTCCCAGCCTCAACACCTTTGTCTGTCAACATATGCTCTACCCTGTCACCCTTGGATAAACTGCGCCTACTAGAGCTGATACACCAGTTCAAAAATTGTTTTTCAGGCACGTCGAAAGTCAAGCAAACACCACTGACCCGGCACCGAATCATTGTTGAAAAAACTACGAGATCGATCCGACAAAACCCATGCCGTGTGGCTCCGAAAGAACGCGAGGAGATCCAAAAGCAAGTTTAGAAGATGTTCCAAGATGACGTAATACAGCCTTCCAAAAGTCCCTGGGCATTCCCCGTGGTATTGGTTAAAAAGAAAGACGGCAGCTTGCATTTCTGTATAAATTACCGCAAGTTAAACCAAGTCACGAAGAAAGACGTCTACCCACTGCCACGCATACTTGACTCTCTTGATCGGCTGTGGCATGCACGATAGTTCTCATCGATGGACCTGCGAAGAGGCTATTGGCAAATAGAGGTCGACGAGAAAGACCGTGAGAAAACTGCCTTCAGAAGCCCGATGGTCTTTATGAATTTAAAGTGCTTCCATTCGGGTTATGCTCAGCGCCAGCCACTTTTCAGCGTTTAATGGACTGTGCTATCAGGACTGAAGTGGCAGACATGCTTGGTCTATCTAGACGACATTATTGTCTTCTCAGCTACATTTGAGGAACACCTAAGTTGATGATTCGCAGTTCTACAAGCTATACGTTCGGCTGGCCTGACTTTAAAACCAAAGAAGTGCCATTTCGGTTTCAGCGAACTTTGCTTCTTATCTTAGCCCACGTGGTCAGCCACGAAAGCGTTCGACCTGACCCGGGCAAAAAATCGACGCTGTCGCAAAGTTTCCTGCACCGCATGACAAAAGAGCAGTGAGACGCTTCTTAGGCCTCTGCGCTTATTACCGACGATTCATAGCCAACTTTTCGCCTATTGCGGCACCTTTGACGCGGCTCACACGAGAGGATGTCCCCTTTCTTTGGTGCAAAAAGGAACAAACAGCCTTCAAGGAATTACGCCAGCGCCTCCAAACACCTCCGGTTCTTGCGCATTTTGACCAGGAAGCGCCAACAGCACTTCACACCGACGCAAGCAATGTAGGCTTGGGCACCGTATTGAGACAATGGCAAGATAACTCCGAGAAAGTGATAGCCTATGCCAGCAGAGCTCTCTCTCACACGGAAGAGAACTACTCGACTACCGAGAAAGAGTGCCTCACCGTGGTCTGGGCGGTTCTTAAATTTCTACCGTATCTGTACGGCTGCTCATTGAAAGTCGTCAGCGATCACTACTCGCTTTGCTGGCTCACTAACTTGAAAGATGCATCTGGCCGTTTAGCACGCTGAAACTTTCGGCTTCAATAGTTTGATATGACCATTATTTATAAATCAGGGAAGAAGCACACCGACACAGACTGTCTCTCGCGGTCACCCGTCGAGCCTACCGCTATTAATGACGAGTCTATGGACACCGCATTCTTGGGAGTCATCAACGCGGCCACTATTTCACAAGAAGCAGCGTAGTAACCCTGACCTGCTTCCGCTTATCGACTTCTTAGAAGGACGACGTGAAGACGGGCCGCGAGTTTTTGCGAGAGGACTGCCATCTTTTTGTTTATGGAACGACGTCTTATACAAGAAAAACTTTTCTTCCTCCAACAGGCCATACTTGCTCGTCGTCCCTGCATCACTGCGAAAAGAAATTCTGGAAGCCTGCCATGACGAAGTCACCTCCAATCATCTCGGCTACACTCGAACATTGTCCCATCTGCAAAACAGTTACTACTGGCTGAACCTACCTGCTGCTGTAAAACATAACGTCCAAACATGTGTCCACTGTCAAAGACGCAAAGCACCCCCCCGGCAGGCTTATTACATTCTGTCCAAGTACCAGCAAAGCCATTCGCCCGAATCGGAATGGATTTCCTGGGCCCATTCCCAACTTCTACCACAGGGAATAAATGGATCATTGTCGCCACCGATTACTTGTCTCGCTGCGCAGAAACTAAAGCCATGTCAAGGGCCGCAGCAGCAGAAGCGGCTCATTTCTTATAGAAAACGTTGTCCTTCGGCACGGTGCTCCAGCAGTTCTCATCACAGATAGAGGAACTGCGTTCATGGCAGAACTTTTGGAGTCGGTTCTCAGGCTCAGCTGTACAGCTCACCAGAGAACAAGGGCGTACCGCTCACAAACGAACGACTAACAGAGCGGCTTAATAAGACCCTCGCAGACATGCTCCGCATGTATGTCGACGCAGAACACAAGAACTGGGATGAAATCTTGCCTTATGTGACCTTCGCCTATAATACCGCCCATCAGGAAACTACCGGAATGACACTGTTTAGTTTAATACACGGGCGCGAAGTCACTACAACGTTGGACGCTATGCTGCCGCACGAGTGTGACGACACTCATGCTGGCGCCTAAGCATTTGGTTAGCGCGCCGAAGAAGCCCGACAGCTAGCCCGTGTGCGTATTTGTCACCAGCAACACAAAGATGCGAAACGGTACGACCTACGACATAAATTGGTAACCTATACCCCAGGCGACAAGGTATGGGTTTGGATCTCAATACGTCGACGCTTTTTCAGAGAAGCTATTATGATGATACCTCGGCCCGTATCGAGTCACCCGACAATTGAACGACATCAACTACGAAGTTATTCCCGACGGCGATTGCGGTTCCAGTCGCCGAAACCGCTCACCCGAGATCGTGCATGTCATCCGGATGAAACCTTACATGTCCAGCTAACTCTCGTTTGTCCTGTGGGTGCCAGTGCATATGTGCATTTTTATAAGTAGAGCGCCTTGGCTGCGCATCGGGACGATGCCATTTTTGGAAGGAGGCAAATGTCACGTGCGTCCCGCGAGAAAGACGAAGGCGACAGTGCATACGCGCATCTGCACGCTTTTATGCAGAACGCAACAACGAGAAAGACGAGGAACTCTCTGGTGCAGGGTAAATGAAAAGACCGACCCACTGCTGCTTTCTCAGCGTCTTCAAATACGACCTCTGTCTCGTACGTCGCGACAATATATGTGAAATTATCTGCACACAACGCATAACACAGCCTATCGGCACTTAATGCTTGCAAGTCTGACACAATAAAGACGCCATACCATGCTACTTAACGATCGTTGCTTCAAAAGCTACATTCGATTGTTTTACGTCCCGCGATACCATTAAAGAGGCCGTTTTGTCTCGAGAACCGTTTACGCACTCAGCAGTTTCCATAAATCTGATAGATTATGTGCACTTCTTCTGTTGTCATCGAAGGTATGTTGACGTTCGACAGCATGTGCCCTTAAGTACATGTGAGTGATTTTGAAGTGGTCATCATTTGTGCTCGTAAATATTAAATCGAGGTGGTTCTGGAAAAGATTACTGCTTGAATCAAAGCATGATCGCATGCTGCATTCGAAACGCACCTCTTGTAGTTCTTGCATTTGCCCATTTCAAATTTCCGCTTCATTCTCTGAAATGCGCGAAATATCTCTATCCATGTGCAAATAAAAAAAGCAGAAGAACATATTCACTTAACAGGCGGCTACAAACGTGTCACAGAATTGCATATGTCTCCTTCTCTATTACACTGCGCAGCTGGGACTTTGACGAGGCGAAGGCATATGCCTCGAACCGGAAGTACCATAGCAGATGACGCACCATTTTGCTATCCATCTATTGAGGGCTTGTGTTGTCAGTTGTTTCTATAGCTTGGCCTGACCTGCGTTTCATGATCTGTGTCTCGCTCTCATTTCTTGCTTGACATGCAAGGCCTAATCTGCTGAAATGGCAGCGACACCATCCACTCCATCTGCACCGTCGGTACTGATAAAGAAACGTGGCAACTGCAAGACACTGACAATGGCGAAGACAGCCACTGTTATTTAGAGCGCAGCTGACCTCAATCCGATGTTGCTTGGCGGTCTTCCATGAGTAGGACGATGATGAGTTCATCTGTCAGGTCCTCGAGCTAGTGCAGCTGGACAGTGACTCACGAAGCACCGTCTACACTACTAGGCAGATATAGCACATGCTGTAACAGCGCTATTCACAAACGCTGGCTGAAATACAGGCTGACTTGGTCACCTGCGAGCGTGCTTGTGTTTAGACGGGCATTGACAAGTTTCTCAGGCCACTCAGTGGTTTTTATCTCAGGCCAATACAGGTGCTTTTTATCATTTTTTTGTTGACTCGATTGTTGAGACTTTTCAGCAGTTCCTGCCAAGTCTGAATAAACCATCAGCAGCTGTATAGCCCATCTCATTTGATTTCTAGCACTTTACATTCCTATAGCCAGACAATTACTTCATGAAGGCAGATCACACTGACAAAACAAAAAAGTGCAGTTGAAGATTCATGCAGTGCATTCAAGCACCAAGAAAAAGAGATGACTGATGCCCTTTCATCGTATATTGGTGGGACATAGACACCTGGAAACAGGTTACAGCTGGTATGTAGCAAAGGGGAATATACACACCATCATGTTAAAGTGAAAACGGGCAATATTGTGGTCCTAAATCAACACACCTTTTTGGCCTTCTTTGACTCTGCAGCTGGCGCGGCTGCCTCGTCCTTGACCTCCTTGGCCTCCTCGGCCCCTTCTAAAGGCTCCTCCAGAGCAGCAGCAGCAGCAGCCTTTTTGTCTTTTTTCTTCTTCTTTTTGCTAGTTGCAGCCTCCTTGGCTTCACCCTGCAAACCGATACTTGTCAGAATGGATTCACAAAGCGGCTCTGCAACTACATTAACCTAAAGAATTTACTGAATGAAAATCGCGGGCTGGTCGGAAGATTTTACAGGATTTTTTTTTGTAACCATCCAGCCATTTCAATAAACTTATTTAAATCAATCAATCAATCAATCAATTAATCTAGCTATTTACAGCTGGATGGCATTTTTTATTGCGATAGCAGTTATATGGACAGCCTCTGCTGGTTTTTGCCAGTGGCGTAATGTCTAATATATGTATATAAAATTATATATAAAATCCACGAAGAAAAATAATTCAGGAAAATACTTTTCAACATGCAAAATTCAACAGGCAACCTGTTGCTTTGTAGTGTGTGGTGTGAACCGCTCAGCCACAGAAGCAACACCATACCAATGGCAAGCTATTCATACACACCATTTACCACTGCCCATACACCAATCTTGGGGGAATCGAAGAGAATACGTTGATCTTGTCGTGTTACCAGCAAGATGGCAGGAAGAGTGCGCTCGACTCCCTGCTCATTGCAATGTGTTGGCTCGTGAATGTATACTTTGCCCTACAACTGTAATCGTCTGCGTGCACTTATATCTTGTGAGGGACAGTTAGTATGTTGTGCGTTTTGGCCAGAAAGTTGCCTTTAGGTTGCAGAGTGCACAAAGGTCACTGTTCACTGCAGAGGCTCCGTTTATGAAAGAAGTGAGCTGTTCAAACATAGCAGAGGAGTAACAGCTGTGACATTTCTTAGTTCACACTCGTCCTGCGTGTGTTTTTTTTTGGTGCGTCCTTTGTGCTTGAGCAGCATGCTGCACGTTTGAATTGGCTTGCCGTTCTTCGCACGATATTCCAATTTGTAACCATCGCATTTATTGCTTTGCGGCAAAACTGTGACTATCTCCATATAGTAAAGCCTTAGTATCTTGCAAACTTCATGCAACCTCTCTTGCTCGTACAATGTCCATATGTGTTGAGCTGATCAATTTCAAAGTCCCTGAGAAGTATAAGATAGCGCCAACTTTATCTGTTCACTTCAGCCTCCTCTCCTAGCAGCTGCAGCAGCACAACTAGCGTCCCCTGTTGAAAAAGAAGGACTTTTCCCCCTGTAGTAAAAAAGTTCCATTTTGCTGTTATTCCAGTCTTTTCTATCACTGGCACGACAGGTCAGCATACTGAAGCATTTAAACTACTGTACAAACAAACTTAAGCGTGGTCAACCTCTTGTTGTGCACCAATTAGGTAAACAACCAGGACACAGATAAACAAAATGTTACTCACACAGTCTCCTATTAAGTTAATGCAAGACTCTTAAAAATAGTGATTTCTTAGTGCAGCCGAATCTGCAGTAGTGCTGCCACCAGGAGCTAGCTTTCGCGCATTAACAGGTTATGTCCCATACATTTTTATAGGGTCGGACACTATGAAAATATACCACTTGTTTTTGTATACATTACGCTGTCATATTTATTGCAATTTTTTTATACTATTTATTTCACACACTTTTTCTACTGCATGACTTTGAACCACAGCCCCCTCAGGAGCTCTAGTAGAAGAATGGCACAAGCCCCTCTTTACGACCAATAGCCATGTTTCGGGAGCTTCGCAGCTCAACTAACATAATTTGGAATCTACCAAGCCCACAGGAGAGGAGGCGCATGTACATTGGCACTAATGGGACTACTTAAGTTATTTTAAGGGACTTAAATCAATTTTGCATTGTGCTACCACCTGCTGGCCTCCTCGCTAGCATAGCTTGTGGGAATGGAGGCTAGCCCACTGCCATGACGCAGGCTTTGTCGCCTATTTCTGCCGTTCTCATGTCCTAACATGACTCTGCCCTCCTCTGCGGTCCGTCAGCACTGAGAGAGCATGAGTTACGTTATCCCCTTTCACCCGGTAGCGAATGTCAACTGTGGAGCCATGCGCCTAGCCTACTAAGACGTTCCGCGCGTGCACAGAGTGAGTCAGCATCTCTCTGGACAACGAATGTTGAGGACGCATTTCTTTCCCGTGTGTAGGGTCCCTTTGTTTAGAGCTCGCTCGAACTCGTGAACTGTGCCTCGAGCCTGTGGCCAACGCTCACCTCTCTCATCTTCCGAATGCTAGGCCGAAGAGTGGTGCGGTGTGTTCGCGCGTGGTCGTACTACACCGACCCGTCCCTCTCGAAGCCAATGCGACTGTGGAGTTTGCCCCTGCTTGAGCTGTTGTCCCTAATCGTGAGAGCACGTGGCATAGTCGTGAGGGCCCGGTTCCCTCAGCGCCGTGTCCCCGTGAATTCTTTTACCCATGGAGACGTGCTCGCAGCACCCTTCGAGTTGTACTTCCGCTCGTGGGGTAGATAAGCCTCGTTTGCTTTCACGCCACCTTTTTCAACTAGCGCAGTACAGCATTTCAGTGTTGTCACAGGCAATAAAGTTTGAGAGCAGTACTGTGTACTTGCCATGCTGCGCTTGATGCCTTGGCTGTCCAAACGCGCGTGTGCAGTGGTGTTGTCACGCGAGGCGACGGTAAACGCGGCCTTGCAGCTCGCTAAGACCGAACCCACGCTAGTGGCCATACTCCTTCGGGGTACGCCGTACACTACAAGCTCAGAGGAAAGAACAACGCACCATAAAAACACTTACCGTATATGCTTGTGGAAAGGCCACACACATGTAATGGCCACACACACGTTACACCATGAAGTTTGTTAAAAAATCCCCTAAAAATATATTTTAAAATTATCCATGTATTAGCCGCACCCTTAATTTTTTTTTTGCAAGGATATCAGTGTTATCCGTTGCGTGGTGTAAGAATATTTGGCCTCGCGTTTTTCTGCTGCAATGCATTGCTGTAGGGCTGTTAGTCTTGACACGACACATTGTTTGCAGCAGCACGCGATAAATAATTAAATACAGGCATTATCAGGCATTATCATTATCGATCAGTTTCAGTTTAAGTTCGAGACAATTCCAAAAACTGGGTGCAACTGTCGCCACCTAGCGTGTGCAACTCTTGACCACGTCAGCACACAGAACTGTGACACATTTCCGCACGATCCGCATCAAGAATTACTTTCGAATAAGAAACGGCACTGGAATGCCGCCAAACACAAAACTTTCTACGCATGCGCCATGGCCACGCATTCGCAACCAGCAGCCGAGAAATATAGACTTGTGAAACTAACGCGGCAAAGGAAAAATGGCGGCTATGACGCCATCATAACTTGTTTTGTTGATCGCAGCGTAGTGACGTGAGGGAAGTACGGGGGTCACCTCAGAGGGTGTCTATAGCGCTATGCAGCCTGTCGCTCACGCAAACTTCAAGATTAATTTAAAATATCTTCCAAGCTATATTCTCTGTTGATATCTTGCAGATGATATACAAATGTTCCCGAGAATCGACCCCGCAGGCTATCTCGGCCCCGAAATTTTGTTTCGGTACCGCTTTAATACGTAATATCTGGGGTTTAACGCCCCAAAACCACGATATGATTACGAGAGACGCCATAGTGGAGGCGTCCAGAAATTCTGACCATGTGGTGTCTTCAATATGCACTCACATGGCGCAGTGCACGAGCCTCTAGCATTTCGCCTCCATGGATATTTGACCACCGAACGGTGGCCAGGATCGACCCCGGGACATTTGGTTCAGCAGCCGGGCATCGTAACTGCTACATCATTGCGGCGGACGTGTGGTGTAAGAATTCTGAAACTTTATCTTGGAGGTGGGGGTGCAAAACAAGCCACCTGAGCCACGTTTTCAGCTCCTCCAGAAAGAAAAAGTACAACCTCTTAAATTAAGCAGCCGTCTCTGTTATGTTGCCATCTGGAGGCTGAAGATGCAGATGTGTGCCACCAGGTTTCAAAGCGTAGGTGGGGTTTCAATCATGAAGGTGGAGAAAAAATACTGTCAGGTGTCAGGTCAAGGGAATCTCAAACGAATTCTATCGAACAGTCGATGACCTCATCTAGGACGAAATGGGGAAAGAAAACGGGATGATGAGGAGGAGGGCAAGAAATAACGTTCTTGTGAACACATGGAAATGACAAGGTTTGTTTTCCGCTTCTCGTCGTACATGCACATACTGCAGTTCCTAAACGGCAAGTAGCACTGAAAACACGAGTGAAACAAAACAACTTGTGTCTTTTTTCTGTCTAATGACTTCACCCGCCGTGATTTCTGCCACCTCCTCCTGATCTTGCCATCAAATCTTGGGGGAAAAAAACCCTGAGGCCATTTCATTACACGACTATATGCAGTATGCCAATATACGATACTTTGCAAGTGTGAAAATTTTGACACTAACAATGTTCACATTATGTTGGGCACATAATCAACAGCATGATAACACAAAGCAGACCCACCTCTTCCCCTTCCTGACCACTTGCAGCAGCAGCGGCAGCCAGAGACTCCTTGGTAGGCGGCGGTTTCTTGCCTTCAATTTCCAATGTGAGCTCTTCCAGCATCTTCTCAAGCTCATCGTCATCCTGATTTTTCTTTTTCTTCTTTTCCTTCTTCTTTTTCTCTTTCTTCTCCTCTTTCACAACCTATAAGCGGTAAGCAATGGGAGAATGACAGGGTAAACCGTCATGCGTGCTTTGATGCCAAGCAGTGAACAAGGTGTCAGCTCAGTAATGTCGAAAGTTCGGCGAGTTGGTGATAGTTCATGATTACTTATGAAGCAGCGCACGGCGACAACCACGGTGTCCCTATCATTCCTCCTGTGCTTGTTGTCATGCGCTGCTTCATAAGTAATCAAGGTGTCAGCTGTATTCTGTCAGTGCCAACATCAAATCGCTATTATTTTTCTTTTAATTCAAAGCAAGTGTAGTTGGTTTTCATGTCATCAAAGCAAAACTCACAAGTTTGTTGCTTTCACCTCTGCAAGTACAAAGCATTGCAAAAGAAACACTGTACTTGTTCTGCTACAAATTACCTTGTATCATTTTGACATGTTGCACAATTTTGAGGCAGCCATACAAAGACAAAAGTCAATGAAATCAAGTGGCAGGGAGGGTATGATCCTTCCGTGGGTGCGTGCTTGTACACACAAGAAAACACAAAGTAAAAATTTTGTGAGAGAGGCTATTTGGCTGCCTGCAACACACATTTTGCCATTATGCCCAGGCAAAGGGTTATACTACTTATTAATTCTTATAATAACTAATCTACATGAATGAATAGTTTCTTTTCCCTCATCAATCGGTTTCTGAATGACAAGAAAAAGTAACTGGCCATAACAGCCGAATGAGTGACATCTGTACGACATATGTAGTGCTGCGACCTTTCTTTCATTTCTCTTTACAGTAACCCGAAATTAACCCTATATGTACAAGTATTCTAGAAATCCAACGAAAAAGGTTTTATCCAATGTATTTCTCGGTTTCATTGTTCACTGGCTGAAAATTAACATGTTGCCAGTCAGACAGCAAGCTTTCTCTAATTATAATCAAATAATTTCACTAGTACACTACACACAGCCTCACCTTCTCTTCTTGCTCTTCAACATCTTCCTTTGCACTGTCCGCATCCTTCACATCATCATCGTCTCCAACATCGAGGAGTGCAAAACCACCCATCTTTTTCTTGGAGCCTTAGGCGCGTCTTCATCATCAGAGTCCTTCTGTTTCTTGTTCTTCTTCTTCTTCGACAGGGCAGGCGCAGCCAGCATCTCGTCGTCCTCATCACCGCTCTCGTCAAGCAGGCCTCTACCTTTCTTCTGTTTTCTTTTCGATAGCGGCACCTTGTCTTCCTCTTCATCACCACTCTCGTCCTTTCTTTTTCCCCTTCTTCCCTTTAGTGGGCTGCTTGACCTCTTCATCGTCGTCACTTTCATCACCGACTGCCATCTTCTTTCCTTTCTTGCCCTTGGCGGGCTTGACGTCGTCCTCGTCGTCACTCTCCTCTCCTGCCTTCTTTTTCCCTTTCTTTCCCTTAGTGGCTAGTTTCAAATCATCATCCTCATCACTATCATCTTCCTTTCTCCTGCCTTTCTTGCCTTTGGCCGGCTTCGACTCTTCTTCGTTCTCATCGTCGCTGTCGTCCCCTCCTTTCTTCCTTCCCTTCTTTCCTTTCGCCGGTTTAACAGGCTCGTCCTCGTCTTCACTGTCATCTCCCTTCTTCTTTCCTTTCTTTCCCTTGGCAGGCTTGGTGACCTCCTCGTCCTCCTCACTATCATCCCCACCTTTTTTCTTGCCCTTCTTTCCCTTTTGCACAGGTTTGGCAGGCTCAACTTCATTGTCACTGTCGTCAGCTACCTTCTTCTTTCCCTTCTTCGTCTTTGCGGCCGGCTTTGCAGCTTCTTCCTCCTCGTCACTGTCATCAAAGCGCTTTCCCTTCGCGTTCTTGTTCGTAGCAGCCGGCTTAGCATCGTCATCGTCCCAGTCACCATCATTGTCACCACGACCCTTCTTGCCCTTCGCCTTTTTACCTGCTTGACCTTTGGCAGGCTTAGCTGGCTCGTCGTCGTCACTGTCATCTAGCTTGTTGGCCCCTTTCTTGGCCTTGCCTTTACGGACAGGCACTTCATCGTTGAGGCCATCACCACTGGTGTCAACCTGCTGAAATTAAGTGAACAAGCCTATGTAAGATATCATTCTAATCACGAAGAGAACTCTACAATATGTCAACATCTAACAAAGAATGGCGACTGACATTTTAAAAATTAATAAAAGAAAATGTCCTGCAATGGTAGCACAGCTTGCATGTAGCTGTTGACAACACAAATAGCGACATTCATAGTAGCAAAACTGAGAGACCAGCAGCTTAACAGGTCGGCATAAGTATCAGAATAATTGCCTGCCCAGTTTTAACAATCAAAGTGGGGCTACATGATGACAAAATAGCTTACTGGGTGCTTGTGACCAGCTCATGCTACATAAACTGTGACACATACCACATAAAGCAAAGAAGGATAAATTTAAGCACTTGTTCTCTTTGTTAAATACAATATTAATGAGAACTGACAGACAATTATACCAAGAACAGTATAAGGCATGTTATCAGAAGTAATTGTAATGTAAATGTTAAGAAATAAAGTAGACGAAAAGATAACTTGCCGTGGGCAGGGGCCGAACTTGCGACCTTCGAATAACGCGTCCAATGTTCAACCAACAAGGCTGCCTGCCCATGACAAGTTATCTTTTCGTCAACTTTTTTTTTCTTCACAATTACTTCTTAATAATATCCCCTATACTTTCCTTTGCATAATTGTCTGACAGTTCTCATTAATACAACATAGAGGTAATGGCACACTAAGGTGCATCGCACTTTGCCATTTCAGCCGATGGCTTCGAAACAGGGTTATAATATACGAAACAACAGGCCGCTTGTAGAAGGAAATAAGCCACTTAGGAGTATCGGTCACCTTTTTCTTGGCACCTCCTTTGTCAGTAATGGTGAGACTGTCCATGTCCTGCACCAAGGTGTCATCACTGCAAGTGAAGAAAAAAAAATTGAAAATCGCGAATGAAAACCCTGCGATGTTTCACAGCTGATATTATTCTTGCTTTTCTCCTTCTTTTTCCCCCTTTCTTTATTACACCCACGACCATAATTCTAGTAGATGTCAATGAGACAACAAAGAAGTTTCACCTGTTGCCAATGCCGTGTGCTCAATGAACGTCAAGAGCAATTGCGCCGGAATTTAGAAGCCGGGTAATTAATGAACCGATCACCAGCTGCCACGATGCGCCGACGTGACCTCTTGATAGGGGGGGGGGGGGGCAGATTTGTCCATTATATCCACGCTCACGCGAGCAACAGCTGATCGTTTCGATAACCGAGGTAACATTTCTTTCAGGGGTGCGGTACGATCATGCTAATACGCGAAAAAGGATGCACAACACGCCGTTGCCGGCATCGGAAGGAAACACTACGCCACAGCACCGGCAGATACATGAACGCCGTCATTGGCCGTGAACCTGTCAACGCACCTGAGAGCGCTTACACACGCTAAGTGACGGCTCACACTGGAACACAAGGGCTCTAAAGTGCGTTTTCACGGGTAACCAACAATGAAAGCTGCTTAGATATACGTTTATTCGCTTAAAACGTTAGGCTTATTGTCGGCGACATACGGTTGATGCAATGTGGTGCTACGTGCCGAGAACATTGCACGCAGTTTGCTCGTTACTTACTCGTCTAGTTTGTCCTTTTTGGTCTTCCTGTCTTTTCCCATGATGGCTTACCGCACTCCCGTTATGTACAGTACTATAGGTTGAGATTTAGCACCAGCAAAACGCAGATTTCCGTGAACTCGCATGTACAGAGTCTTATGAACTAGGCCAACTAGGCCACGCTGCCGCGCTTAGAGACATCTATCGACTTGGCGAAGACACATCGCCGCAGTGTAGCAGACGCGCAGTTAAATAAAGCTACGCCGAGAAAAATTTTCGTTAGCACTTACGTAAGACTCGTAACCTTTGGGTTCGTAACCGATAAATACCTAACGTATTGCCGCCACTATAGGACGTAATCATGCTTGTTTTGCTGCCCTATTTGCGCAACTGCACGCAATTGTTACATGATGACACGAACGACGAGATGGGCGCGTGTGCGTCTGCTGCGAGACATCCGTGACTGCGGGTGTTCGTTTCATGCGCAATTTCAGCGCAAACTGTAGCTCAATAGCACTCTAGGGTGCGGTTCTGTACACTCAGTGAAAAATATACTTGAAAAAATGAAATATTTGGAGTTAAATTGGCCAAATTATGGACATGCTGCTGCTGCAGGCATGATGCAGATTGCAAAAGTATCATGTTATGATCAAACTATCTCGTAAATATACGCTCAGTCGAAAATAGTAGCTAACTAACAAAGCTTTAGGTTGTTTGTTTAAATTATTCAAGCAATTTTTATGAAAACAGTGAGAACTACGAGTGCGCGGCTTTGAACGGCTTACTCCGGCAGCCAACTAAAATGGCGCTGTTGAAGGCAATGAAGGCATTCAAGGTTTGACGCGTGAAAAATGAAAAATGGTGAGTATTTCGAGCTTGTTATTGGTTCTGAATGACGTCTTCGTCGTCACCATTTGATCCAATTTTACAGTTTTTTCACCACAACGTGATATAGTGGAGATCGGTGACTGACCGTCCGTAAACGCAGTCCGCCGATTTCACCGTGGAATGCTACCTTAAACATACGAATTTCTTAATATTCGGCGTGTCTACATCGCTGTTGCTTGGCGAATCGCTAGAAAGTGGTAGCGATCATTACGTGTTCAGTGATTACGCGTAGATAGTGGTCTCTCTGTGTCGCCATCGGGTCCGCCTTTTGCGGACATTTGGGGACCCGGTTGCGTGAGATCCCGTGTTACATACAGCCCCGATAATGCGCTTAAATCCATCGACATTTCTGATAAGCGCCTGTCGATCTCTGGCACGGTTGCGTTGAGAGTGACTACTTAAGTGCGTGTCTCCCGGGAACGTGTTGAATGCGATAAAACAGTCAAATCAAAAGCCAGGCGAGCGCTCGCAAAATTCAAATGCGTCAACCCGTGCAGCCTTTAGCTTCGCGTGTGATTCTGGCTTAATTGAATCTCGCTGTTCCGGTCGAATAACTTTTCTTTCACGTTTCGAAGACTGTCGCGTTTGATTTGTTGCTTCATCGCACAACCCGTAGATCTTCGAGTAGCGAGTTTTAGAAGTAGAAGCGATGGTCAGTAACTCTTGCGTGTTTTTTTTTTCTTTTTTTAGATCGTTCTCTATCTGCACGGAACTAATCGCGATGGATCCAACGAGTAGTGGAAGCGGTTGTTCGCGCTTTTTTTTTTTTTCGTTGTAAACATCGCGCGTGCTTGTGAGCTTCGTTTTTTTGCTGCCCTGTATCCGCTTTCTTATGCCGCTGATGTTATTCTAAGCGATGTGGGCGCCCTTTCATACACATGACTTGCGCAACTGTTTAGAAATGCCGCTTGGTGTAATCGTTTTATTGGGAAAGAACATCGCGACGCCGGCTAGAAGTGCGGGAGTTAGTTTCTCTGAATCACAATGTTGACCGTTTATCTTTGCTCTGCTCACGCTTCGTTTTCGTCTCCGTTTCTTTTTTTTCTTTAGGGAGCAAATGGATCATTGTTGGAGAAGGAGATAGGTCACGATCAGTTTCCGTCAAATGAGCACTACTTCGGTCTTGTAAATGTAAGTACATGCATTTTACAAACTTAGCGTCAGTGTGATAGATGTGTGCACGAAATTCGCCCCCGAAATTCTGTTTGATGTCGCGAAGACACAGTTGAAATGTGCAACGCAGTTCACCTTGTCAAGCACGCATCAATCCACCTCTACCTTGCTGTGCATGTTAGTTTGTCATAATTAGTGAACGTAAGCTGGTGTCGGTGAATGTGCTCTGGGCGTGGTCATTTGTGCACACATATAGTCATGCGAAGCCACAAGCGACAAATATGTTGAGTGTTATTGCATTCTGCCATCAGGACTAGTGTGACTGGTGCACTTGTAGCTTACATCAATAACTTAGAGAATACGTTTCTTTTAAAACATTTTGCTCTTGTTTCCTGTGAACCCATAACTTCAGGAAAGAAGAAAAATGTAACATACATAACCTAGCCATATTGAGCGGTTGTCATTCGTACACAGCTTAGTCAACGCGTAAATGCCTTCCTGACAGTACAACTTCAAGACCTCCGAAATATCACACAGGAGAGGAGGAAATACTACTGATAAGCATGCATTATGCGAATATCTATACATTATAAAAAGTGTCTGCTTGCCTTCATGACCGCTTAAGCTCTAGTTGGGAGTCAAATATTCACAGGGTGTTCCATTTAAGAGTGGACTATATCTTACATTGGTAAATCTTGTACATTCAGTTAAAATTTATGCAGAAACTACTAATCTGCCTTATGAGCAAACTAATCACACTGTATTTAGTTTGCTTTGTTAAGTAGTATTGGAGGCTCATTAGCATGAACATAACTGTGCCACATCTGTTCATCTACAAGCTTCATCATTGGGAGTACACTAAGTGAAATGAGTTTTTTTATGAATGTTTGATGAATTTTAGGGCACAATAGTCACTGTCAATAAGTGGGCGGTCCCACTTTTTATTGCATTCAGTTGTACCTAGCTATGTCAGGTCTGAAAGGAATCACACAAAAAAAATTCTATGTTTAGTAATTCGATACATAAAATACTTTATACATCTAAAATACATAAAAGAGTATTTATATTTACTGGATATGCACCATAGTTCGTTTTGTGTGTGCTCAACTGCATTTTACAAACTTTCTTTGCGCTGAACATGTACTTATTCTGCCGTATTGAATTAGTTAATTGTATTTATATATAACAGCTTAGATAATTTAGGCAACTACCATTATAAAAGCATATTACTGGCACAATATATTGCAATGTATAGTTAACCAGACAAAACGACTAATAGTTTAGAGCTTTTAGTTGTGAACGCTTGGGCACATGATGCACTTGTAAAATTGAAGCCGTACATTAGTGGAGGCCTTGACAGTTTACAGAAATGGCAATGCTGATAGTATTTCCGATGTGTCAACTTGAAGGCTCTTCAGTAATTTAATTTTTATTCCTTTTAACATGATCTCAAACGTGCTACATCACCATACGTTCCTAGTTCCCTTGGTCCATCTTCGGTCTGCAGAGAATGATTCATGAATTGTTGGAGGCCCAAATCATAGTTGGTAACCTTGGGGTGAAATACTGTAATCCTCTCTTGTAGATTGAATTCTCTGCTGTGTGATTCTGGCGACAGAGCAATTTGTGAATCATGTCACATGTAGCGTGACTGATTTTTTCATGATCTTGTCTGCTATGGGAACACAATTTATTGTGCGGTATTTCAATTCCTGTATATATAATATTTTAGGGGCAGTCATCTGTTATCGTTAATCTTGAGAGCAACTATGTTGTCCGCAATGGTGGTTCAGGGGTTAGAGTGCTTAGGCAGCTGACCCGAAGGTCGCATCTTCGATTCTAGTTGCGGTGGTAACGTTTTGGTGGAGTTGAAATGAATGAGGTCTGTGTACTTTGTGATATCAGTGCACGTTAAAGAAGACCAGATGTTTGAAATTTCTGCACCCCTTGACAACGGCATCTCTATCATATCATGATTTTGGGATGTAAAACATAAGATGTTGCTATATTATTAGAAAGCAACTATGTTGATCTCTTGGATACTACCCTTACACTAATTATGCTGCTCGCGTCCTTTAAAATGTGCAGTTTGGCAACACCTGCTATTGCAACTCGGTGCTCCAAGCACTCTACTTTTGCAAGCCGTTTCGGGAGAAAGTGCTGGAGTACAAGGCACGCAACAAGCGGACAAAAGAGACGCTGCTCACGTGCCTGGCCGACTTGTTCCACAGCATCGCCAACCAGAAGAAGAAGACGGGCACCATTGCACCCAAGAAATTCATCGCACGGCTGCGCAAGGAGAACGAGCTCTTCGACAACTACATGCAGCAGGATGCGCACGAGTTTCTCAACTACCTGCTGAACACCATCGCCGACATCCTGCAAGCCGAGAAGCAGCAACAACAGAACTCGCAGGCCAACGCTAAGGGCAACAAGTGCTCCAGCAGCGGAGACGCGGCTCACAACGCAGTGGGAGGCCCCATGGCCTCGGCCGGCACCACGGCACAGGGCGTGCAGAACCAGGTGGGGAGCGCCGCGCAACCTCCCAAGCCAGAGCCCACGTGGGTGCACGACATCTTCCAAGGAACCCTCACGAATGAGACTCGGTGCCTCAACTGTGAAACGGTCAGTGTGCTGTCTCCCTTAGCTCAGTCTTCTATCTGTTTGCAGGAACAGCGCAACCTACAAGTAGTTACTTCGTAACTACGGAAGCGAAAAAACAACAAGGATAGAAAAGAACGCTATTTTCAGCGCTCTTTTCTGTCCTTGTTGTTTTTCCGCTTCCGTAGTTACGAAGTAACTACTTGTAGGTTGCGCTGTTCCTGCATTCAGTTATGTCCTACCAACTTGCTCAAGCTTCCACGCTTCTATCTGTTGTTCTTTAGCAACTGTGAGTTAACTGCAAAAAAAATATGGGCAGTTTGCAGAAGTAGTGCAAGACTAGACTAACAACGGAGCTTTTGGCCTACTTGGATTGTTAGCACGATCTTAATCAGTGTGATCGTAACTAGCTAGGTCATCTCCCTCTGTTCCTGTCTGTCTCTCTCTCTCTGTGCTCAGTTCACCTCTTCCGTGCTTGCCTTTGTCTTCTTCAGAAGGTACTTGCATTGAAGAAACATCTGCATTGCACATCCATCGTGTCAACCTCAGTGGATGTGCTGGCCACAGGTCTTATTTTCTACCAAATTACTAGGCAGGGTAGAAAACTTTACTATAACGATTTTCCTTTCTCGAATATACAGAGTCAAGATCATATTCGCCTCAAGATCTTTGAATGGCGCCCTATCGCGTGTGACATCAGAGAGAGGACTCAAATGCTGCTTTTCATGCGTGCGCTCGCTATGTGAAGGTTGCTTGGTGCTGCCTGCCAGTCTTTCCTGTATGAGTTATTAAGATTTCATGGGCAACTTCATAAAGCAATTTGTACTGAATGTTCAAGCAAAATGCCAAGGGGAATCGAGTTATGTTGTCGTTGGGAGCACGATCAGTGTTGATTGCTCCTAGTGTATCCTAGTCACCAATGTGTACATCTGCATGTATGGCGATGATTTGTTTTCGCAACTGTTCCATAGTGTTGGCGCATTTAAAATGACTTTCTGGCCTGTTTTTGGTCACTCACTTCAGCATTAGGGCGCTGGCTTTCATTTCAGCGTTAAAGCACAATACTATATGTTTACCATGTGTTGTATGTGTTCGGTTGCCAAGCCTGCTTAATTGGTTCAATTAGTTCAAAGTGCACAATAAATGACATGTTATGTCACTCTCATAAATTAAGTGGTTGTTACAGATGACAACCGTTCATTAAATCAGCGTTTTCGGCAGCTGCTGTGTAAGCATGTTGTAAGTTTTTAAAATTTAATATCATTGGCATCAAATAATGTTGGCATCAAGTAGCCATTGTTAGCGATGCTAACTTTATGCAATAGTTAGTCATCATTTAGGCAATGCCTACCAACTGCTTTGTGTTGTCTCTTTCTGTGTGCCATGTTTTTTTTTTTGTTGTTGTTGTTTCCTAACCAACCGATGCTTACCACTGCTGTTTGAAGACCCTGGACAAGCTTTGCAGTGGCATGTTGTATATTGTTACAGGCCTATTGATGTTTTCAGAATAGCCATACACGTCTCACTTAGTAATTTAAGGCAGTTCACAATTGAGTTTCTTATTTGATCATCATCATTATTTATATCCAGCTGGACAAAATCCTCTCCCAGTGACCTCAAATTTACTCTGTCTTGCTCTTACTGATCGCATTGTATGCCACCATGCTTCTTTAGTTCATCATTTCACCCAACTCTATGGTGTCGTCACCTGTATTTCCTTTCTCTCGGTATCTTTTCTACTCATTGCATGGCCCATCCAGTTCCTATTCTTGTTCATAATGTTGATTAGTGTACTGGTGGCTGTTCCTGTTTGCTGATTTGTTGGGCCCTCCTCCTATCTCTTAATGTAAGGCCTATCATTTTTTATTTCATTACACACTGTGTAGTCCTTAACTTCTCAAGTTTCTGCCCTGTATCTTAGCACTGGCAGAATGCAATCATTTTTTACTTTCCACTTGGGGAGACTAATAAGTTACCTGTCGAAAGTTAGGACTGTCTCCCATATGTGCTCTAGTGCATACATGTTCTTCGGTGAATTTTGTACATTTTTTTTTTCTATGCCATGCAGTTTCATCAGTACACGATGCATTTTGTCTGTTCTTGAACTTCAGGTTAGCAGCAAAGACGAGGATTTCTTGGACCTTTCAGTGGATGTGAGCCAAAACACTTCCATAACCCATTGCCTAAGAGGGTTCAGCAACACTGAAACGCTCTGCAGTGAACACAAATACTACTGTGAAAATTGCTGCAGTAAGCAAGAGGCACAAAAGAGGCAAGTACAGTTATCCTTCTGTAATAGTCTCCCCTCAGAAGTAAACCCTCAGATGTCACCCCTCAGAGGCGCTTGTCTGTGTCCTCTCTGAGTGTGTGTATTTTTGCGCTTGTCTCATCATGAACCTTTACCAACACGATCAACTGGCAGTCATCCTATTCTTTACTTTTTATTTTTCATTACATCTGAGTTGACGTTGAATAGCGAAGTAGAAAGCTTTTTGACTAGTTATGTTTCTGAAATAAATCCTTTTTAGTCTGAATCGGCTCAGACTGTTACAATGCAGTGATAGTCTTATTATTTCTACATTACCTACCATGCAATTTTCACTGAAAGAAGCAATTTAAAGGAAATTTACCAACTTCCTGTATAGTTTAGTACACCCATTCCTGGGATCGTCAACAGTCTGTGCAAGAGTTTGTTGTACTCGTTTATTCAAAATGTGCACTTAGCAGTCATGCTTTCAGCAGTGTTAAAGTGAATTTTCTACTGTCGCTGATTGTGAGACGGTTCGACCACAAGCCCAGGACTTTAATGCATGCTTATGACAGCTTTTAGAAGGTTAAATTGTGCACTGATACGTAGATGTCTTAAACAACTCGTTCACACGTGTTAAGATTTGCAAGGCTGCACGTTCATGTGGGATGAAAGGAACATCTAACTAGACAGGCGATTCAGAGAGCTCATGAAAGCTTCTTAACTTGTCCGCTTTTATTTTCCTCTGACACTGTGAGACAATCAAAATACTCGTCTACACCAGCAACATGATAAAATAAACAATAGCACAGGCTCTATCAAACAGTGTTTTATTTACATTGACTCCTCAATGCATGGAACCTGTGTGATTTCTGTGATAGACTGTAAGCTTGTGCATGTGTTGACATACATTTTTCTCACTATGCTGTGGTCTGTAAGAGTAACATTATCAGCATGTTGAGGCGATGAAAAATTGTCTAAAGAGTAAAACCATTGCAGCCAACATTCTGATGAAAGGATCTGTGAACTTCTTTCTTGTTTGGACTATAAAGGGACCAACAAACAATTTTTGTGGTACCTGCTTTCTTTAGTGCAACAAAAAGCTTACTGGTCAGAGTATCTAATCATAGAACCGTAACGCGGGAAACACGAAAAATTTTTTGATCAAAATATTTCCTTCCGCGACGCCTGTGAAGTTGTACACACAAAACATGCTACAATGGGAGGTGAACAACACGGCAGTTTGTGTTTGTGCACTGCGGTTTTTCTGTGCATGTGTTCACTAGGCAGGCATGTCCCAGGGCTTGACATGCTCCATTAATTGCCACGGAAGCATCGTCGCTTCTCAGTGCCATTTCCTTTTACCTCATGATCAGAGCAGAAAGTGTAGAATGGGGATAGACAAAAATATATATGCTATAAATTTTAGCACTATTTTGGGGCTCGTAAAAGCATTGGACTATGTACAGCAAACACAGTAACTTCGTAGGGCAGCATTGGGGCTGTTCTGCTAGGCTGTGGGACATATTGTTCTTTTGTAACTTTTGAATGCAATTAAAGATGCAGTCCTACTCGAATTGCAAAAAGGATGCTCAAATCTGTCTTTATTATTCACCGTTTTTTTTTTTTAAATTTTCACCTGGATCTAATCACACACTGTGGCCAGCTATGGGCCCCTTATCACTTGTCTATGATGTCATAGACAAGTGGCCCCTTATCACTTGTCTTGGCTTAATATTTTCTTTCATCTTTTTAGCTAGGAAGGGAATAGTAGTCAATTTAGCTAAGTGTATGATGAAGTTAGGTCGGGATCGGCATTTCATCGATAAATTAATTTTGATTCTATTCATCAGTTTGCAGTTTCTGCGCCAAGTCAAGTCAACTTTCAGTGACGTGTCCAATTTGCATTTTCTCGTGTTGAAATGTTGTGCGTTGTTTTGTCTTGTCTCCTTTCTCCAGGATGAGGGTAAAGAAGCTACCCATGATCCTAGCATTACACCTGAAACGATTCAAGTACACGGAGCAGCAAAATAGGCACACCAAACTTTCTTACAGGGTGGTCTTCCCCCTTGAACTAAGGTTATTCAATACAGTGAGTGCATTCCCATTAGTTACTTTTTAAAAAATATTGTGACTCTTTAGGAGTGACAAATTTCTTGGTCGTGTGATTTTATTGAATGTGAGGTGCATTACTGAAGGTGTGGGTTTGTACTATACACGGACCTCTCTTTCTTTTTTTTCTTTTTTTTTTTAACCTGAGCGATAACTTCGTAGTGTTGAAATATACGTTGCTGCAATAAGCATCTAAGGCAAAGTTCATTTTAAAATATTTTTGAAAGATTTAGAAGGACCTGAAATTGGGCTACTCAGCTTACCAATGTGTTTAGTTGGCACAGCTTAAGTACATGCTGAATACAGTTCTTGTGTCAGCTTCAATGTATAAAAGCTACATAAAGATGGGTCACCGCGATTCCTAAATAAATATACGTCTCATTGCATTTGGATGGCTATGGCGTTTTCATTATGAGGTTACAGGCTTAATTCCTGGCCTCTGTGACTACATTCAGTTAGGGGCATAATGTAGAAAGTCTTGTTCACCATTGTTGAGGTGTGTATTAATCCAGTGCAGATGTTCAAAACTCTTCTGTGATATGTTTTAGCTCCTGTGTTACCCTGCAACATTAAACTTCCATCAGGCAGTCGAATTGTACTTTCCTTGGGGGATCTGCAAAGGTTTCCTAGTTCTTTTGTTTTACTGTAGTGACTGCTGCGTGAACCTGTTATTCCAATGCTATTTTCAAGCAGGATGCTTAAACTGAAAAAGTTGGCAGGCTTAAAAAAACTACTTCTAGGGATATATATATATATATATATATATATATATATATATATATATATATATATATATATATATATATATATATATATATATATATATATATATATATATATATATATATATAAACTTCGAGAATAGTGCAGTATAGCCTCCGAAGAAGGCTGGTCCACCAGCCGAAACTGTTAGGATTAAATAAATATTTTATTGTTTTGTTTCCTATACTGCACTATTCTCGAAGTTTATAACTTTTATTACGGTAGCCGGAAGAAACTCTGATCCTCTATTTCATCTATATATATATATATATATATATATATATATATATATATATATATATATATATATATATATATATATATATATATATATATATTGCTTTTTTTGTGTAGCATGGCCTTAGCAATACAGTTCTAGTTTACCAGAGGCATTATTATGCGGTATTATGTGATGTCCCTCAACTACTGTGAAGCCTTTTGTGTAATGAAATCAGAGGGTCCCCTGGCTGCACTTAAATCATTATGATTGCATGTGTGTTCAAGTTTCTGCATTACCTTCTGGGATCACTATTCTATGTCCGTCTATGTAAATTGTATTTACTTGCATAATGAACCCACTCCCCCACCTTGGTTCTTAAAGGGGTCCTCAAACACTTTTTTGAGTAACCATGGAATGAATTCACTGGAAAAGCGTAGTACCTCACAAATTCAATGTTGCAAAAATTATAAGAATCCGTCCAGTACGAGCGGAGTTACAAAGGTTTGTCACACGCTGCAATCGCATTCTCTCGTCCCGACGAAAGCGCTAGAAGCTAAGCAGGTTGTAGTGTGCTGGGTGCCAGGGCACCGTGAGATCCAAGGCAACGTGATGGCGGAGCAGCTTGCTGCATCCGTCCACGAAATCAGTTCCACTACACCCATATCGATCCCACCCCTTTATCTTAAGCCGTCTCTCAAACGAAAGCTCAGGGACTATTGGCAGAGCAAGTGGGATAGACACACACAAAACAAGCTACACGTTATCAAGCCACACCTTGGCCATTGGCCACCAGTATCAAAATCACGTCTAACAGAGGTAACACTAACAAGGCTCAGGATAGGACACACATACACGACACACACATATCTTTTGTCCGGTGGCGATCCACCATTGTGTGACAGATGTGGTGAAGCATTAACGGTCCTACACATGTTAATCCAGTGCAAAGAGTTAGAAACTCTAAGAAAACAACATTGTCCATCACCCTACCGACAACATATACCTTTACACCCTGCAATGTTCGTCGGTAGAGAACCGCTTTTTAGTCATAAATCATTGTTAGCGTTTTTAAAAGGAATTCATAGTTTTCATATCATATACCCGGGCATTCCGTAGCACGACCTCTGCAGAGAGGTTCTTGCTGCGGTGGCTACGCAAGAAAGCACTTGCCTCGCAGCCCTTGGACACAAGGGCGCTGATGAGGCACTTGTGCTAGTGCCAAATATTTTTACACGTTTCTATTATCAAAACCTTTGTCACCATTTTTACTATGCGTATCACGTCACTGTCATGTTTTTAATACTTATGTTTTTACTCGCATTATCGAGAGGAATTTTAAGGCCCCTATACAGCCACGCAACATATCATTGTCCACATCTCTATACTCATTGAAATGGCGCTCTTTGGCCATCAATTGGCCCTTGCGCCATAAAGCGCCACACATCATCATCATAGAAGCTAAGCAGGGAGAAATGGAAGGGGCAAACAAAAAACGTCACGTGCACCTTGTGACCTTGAGCACTTTTTTCTCTTTGAAATCGTGGCTTTTCAGTGCGATCGTGCGCGCACTCGTGGACGAGTGACGGCCTTTTGCGGCGATGTCTGCAACAACCGAACGCGTCATGTTCAAATCAGCCAATGGCTGATGGATTGGCTTACTAAGAGTAATTTTTGGGCTTATTGCATGATTTGTCAAGACAAGAGAAAGCAATGTTTAGCTGACTTTGATAATTTATTGTGAATTCCAGGCCACATGCTGCGCTGAAATATTTGGCTCGCGTGTTGTCCGGAGCCTCTACTACCGATCGGCAGCATTTTCTCACCACGCTCAAAAAATGTTGCAGGGCCCCTTTAAAGCAAAAAAAGTCAATTTCTCATTATTTAATGTACCTGTTCATTTTATTTTCATGTGATAGCCAGTGTCATTGATCATTGAAACAACATTGATTCACGCCATTGTATCACAAAATAATGACGCAGAGAAGTCAAAACAGTTTAACAACCATGCTGAATAGAAGCGCGAGCACAAACGACATTGATGCAAATTTAAAGGTCGTGCCTTTTGTGGCAGAGCGCTGTCTGTCGAACACAGGAAAAAACCTTTTCGCTTATTGGCCCCGAGATCGAGCGCAGTCGCCGCCTGGTGGCCACTGGCTGAAGCGCACCCAGTGTGGATTGCTCCCTGTGTCGTCTGCTACCCTCTTAGACTAGTGTGCGCATACTTTATGCGCGTTCTCAAAGGGTGGTTTGTCCCACTCTGTTAGTGCAAGAGTAACTGCTTGTACATTTGCCTAGCACTGTCTACAGAGGCATTTGGCCTTGCCTGGCTGTATATGTAGTACAATAAGATGAGGTCGGGCACTTGCCGAGATTGCTGTGTATCGTCGTCATAGTCTCCGTTCACCTGGATCGTGTCGATGTAGGTGCCGCTTTTTAGCTAAAGCACATCGTAAAGTGCATTGATTGATATGTGGAGTTTAACGTCCCAAAACCACCATATGATTATGAGAGACGCCGTAGTGGAGGGCTCTGGAAATTTCGACCACCTGGGGTTCTTTAACGTGCACCCAAATCTGAGCACACGGGCCTACATCATAATCGTAAAGCGCACTTCAGGTTGTCACAAACATGAGGAATATTAAGTGTCATGTAAATGCATCATTTCAGTGACTTGGGGATAAACGAAGTTTTGAAATCTTGTTAGGTGTCTAACTGTGGCGCTGTTGCTTATCGATTATGCGCTGTTGCTTATCGATTATATCGAAATAAAGGTCGAAGTCTTAGGTATTTCTGAAAATTTTGTGCTGAAATCTCCAAGGGTAGTGTCACAGATTTCAAAGTGCATTTCTCATAATTTTAAGGTGTCGGCCCTACTAAGTTTCTTGGCACTTGGTGTTTTAGGTTTTTCGTTCCCTCACATGATACTGCACTTCAGTTTTATCATTAGGGATTATGTATATTCTAGTAGATGCTGTCAAAAGCCATGAAGTCGTGGTGATTGCTGCGGGAACTTCAGGGTGTTGTCCCCACCCACATTTTCTCTTCATGTGTTTTGTCGCTTGCCAAGCATCTTCTCGGGTTAAGCAGGTGACTTTGGTATTGTTAAAGAGTAACTCACTAATACAAGAAGAATCTGTTTTCTCTTTAGAGTCCCATTGCACTTGTTCTGCACTTCCCTTTCTGTGCTAACTGCAATGTTATGTCTCCTGCAGTCCGATGATGCCTACAACCCTGACCGGATGTACGACCTTGTGGCAGTAGTCATCCACTGTGGAAGTGGCCCCAACAGGGGACACTACATCTCCATAGTGAAAAGCCACGGCCTCTGGCTCCTCTTTGATGATGACATTGTTGATGTAAGTGCTGCTTCAAGATTGCTTTTCTTAGAAATTGGTTGGAGAAGGGTGAGAATTTTCAGACCAAGATAGCAGGCTTGGGTTATTTTCATTATTTCAATGTCAGTTCATGCTTGTTTCTAGGATCGTGGAGCAAAGTGCTTTGCTATAATTCAATTGTTAGACGTCACATTTCCACTGCAAGGTTTCAAGCTCCTATCAAGCAGATTGTGAGACCAAGGCTCTACACCTTGCCTACTTGGGGGATGTTGCAGCAAAGAATACTCCAATACCATGCCTAGCCCCTGGAGCCCTCGTTAAAAATATTTTTGTATATTGTTGTTATAAGTCGACCCCCAACTTTTAGTCTCTTTCAGGCAAAAAAATAGAAGTTGATTTTGAACACAGCTTCATGCCCCAGTCATATCTCGTCCATAAGTTTTTCAGAAGAGGGAGTAGTGCAATAAAACATTTATTTACTTATGAAACATTGCTTGAGACTCGACGCTTGAGAGAAGGGCGTAGTCACAGTCTTTGCCATCATGTGGGCCCCTGTTGCTGCTTGCTGTCAAAAAGGGTGCCATGGTTACTGAGATGCTGCACGTGAAAACGCCGTGCGGACCATGTTGGTTGGCAGTTTGTATCAAGCATCATTGACTCATTCATGAAGTTTGTGACCGATTTCATGGAAACTTTGAACTTGGTTTGCAGGATGCACATATCCTTTGCGATAGTATGTACCTTTGTTTCAATGTCATCGTAGTAAACACTCAGGCTCTTGCTTCTCTGCTCGTGAACCCAATCTTGAACTGCCTTAGCAGCAGGGCATAGGAACGGCGTATAGCAGCACATTCGAAGATTTTGGTCCATATTTTTTTTCCCCAATCCCTCACGCACTTTTCCAACACGTTGAACTTGCACCCTGATGCAACGTTGCTTTCCGACTCTGCGTAGAGGACTGTTTGCCTATCAAAAGCAGCGCTGTACTGCTGCCGGCGTAATGGTGGCATCTTGGCGTCCATTGGGCAGCGTTGCAAATCGCGCACACTGTTGTTCGCAAGCGAAGCAAAATGTAGAAGTGGCCAACAGGTGTGAGCGGCTTGAGGGCAAAAAGACGCCAAGACGCCTGCGGGCTCATGTGGTTTAGTTCCCAGCGATGTGTTGCCAGCTCCCACGGCGCTGCCAGTTTTTTTGTGGAATGCCCTTGGTCTGTAAACAAATTGTTTCTACTGTATGAAAACAAAATTGCAGTGCGTATTGATTTATTACTCTTTTTTTTTTACATAGAGCATCGTTGGCCCCCTATCAAAGGATCGGAATGATGCTGTCGAGACCTTGTTTTAGTAGCTGTGCCCATAAATGCCATGCGGGGATGATTTTTATACACGCTTTGTATTTCTGCGTTTTTCATGATAGTTTTGCGATTGTCGTGGCACTGAAAGCAGCGCATGCATTGGGAGATGGCAGTTCTCTTGACTTTGCTTTCTCTGCGGGTGATGTGTCGAATAGCATTGTAAATTCAAGGACGACGACCTCTCCTCATACGCTGCCAATAAGTCGACATCACGGTTCTGTGTACAGGTTGATTTCGTTCGTAGATCGATCCCCAAAGTTTAGGAGGTCATTTCATGAAAAAACTTTGACTTATAGTAGGCAATGTTAGTAGTCAATGCCACATTCTGTAGCATGTAACTAAACCATCACCAAAGTGAAAGAAAATGTTAACAAAGCCGGTGGCAAGAACATAGAAGACTGGACAGGAAGGATGAGGATGTAACAGAACTAACAGAACTGAGATGATCTAATGAAATATAAGTAATTAGTATGGAGGCAGCGATAGTTCCACTGGCCATAGCCTTTTGTTCAGCCTGGTCAGTAAGAGCGTGCGGGTCAGGGCTGGACAGTCGTGCCTCCCTCCGCTCCAGCGTGGGTGTCAGTGTTGTTTGTGTCTGTCAGGAGAAGGTGTACAAGTCATGCCTCTTTGCGTCAATGCCATGTAGGTGTGTCACCTGTGCAAATGAACACAACTGAAGGCTAGAGGCATTGCTGGATAAAGCTTTCTGCTTTTCGAAAGATTTGTAATGTGCACTCCTTTTACTCCCGGCCAATACTATACAAGAAGGTGCCATACTAACAATGCGTAATGTTATGGCCATCATAGCATCCCTGCGGTATGCTACTCCTCATTAGAAGTGCAACTGCAAAATTTTTCTTAAGTGGAAAATTTTCATGCTGCTGTGGTTTAAGTGCATATAGTAGACTCGTTGAATGGTACCTGAAGGAACTAATAAAATATGTTCTTTTTAACAGAAGTTCTGTTTACGAAACATAAACAGAAATGCAAAATGCAAGAACCAATCTTGCAAGTATCACTTGGTCTACTTAAAAGCAGTTTCATTTAAGAGAGTTATATTTACTGACAGTCTACTGTATTCGTTATCATTAATGTGAAGGAAAGTTACGCAGTTTAGCATTTATCTATATAACTTACCCAAACTTGCAGTTCTCATGATTACTTGCTTCAAGTAATCACCCATAGCAATCGCTTTTCATTTAGCGCTGCATAAAGAACAACAGCCTCTGCCGCATTCTGGGCTCTCCTCTTCGATAATGCACCAGTGCAGACAGATTCTGCTTAGACAGGTAGCACCATTTTTTCACAAATTTGAATCCTCATTTCAGAAGTTCGACGTACATTCTGCAGGTACTTAACTGCATGAATACCTTAGGAAATGAGAGGAGTTGCAAACAAATAGATCGACAAAAGAGTGCTCAACTCGTAATAGACACAGCATAGCATCTTGTCTGCTGTCCTTAAGCTACACTCCTCGTTGCACTATTTGTTCCACTTCATTATGTGTCAATAGACCCAATTTAGTGCCTTCATCCACTGAAGTCTCTAATTGTATAAAGCATGTCACTTGGCAGATGGTTTTCAAAGACTTGTCCTAAGTGTTAATCTTATCTTTCAAGAAAGCTTGGGTGTACAGAGTCTGTCATAGCTTTAATATACCAACAATAAAACCATAGGATTGCCCATGCAGTGTTCACAGATTGAAATGCTCCATCAAAGCACTTAGTATAGTGATTGGTATGTGTAATAAATTGAGATAACTATGATATTTTATTCTAACCATGGGTGCAGCCAGAAATTTATTTCCATGCAGAGGGGAATGTGACCCCTTTGCATATGTCTGTGCATGTGTTTGTATGAGTGCATGCAAGATGTAAAACCTTTGCGGCAACAAACTACTACCTGAGGGATTTTATCCATTATCATTACATGCAGTTTTTTTCCTTTTTTTTTATACTACACATATCATGCAACAGTTTCATACAGGGAACCTTTGTAGAGCTCACTTAGAGTTATGGGATCACAACTATGTAATTGTGATGCATTATGTTATGTCTAGTGATGTATAAGAAGTGTATTTTGGTGCCTCTAGTTTTTCAATTAGAACTCTCAGTCATATTCTCGAGTTTTCGCGGACCTTCTTTTCGCGTTCCCGACATCATTGCGCACCTATTTACAAAATTTCATAGCCGAATACCATCAACTTTTATCGTTATTCAACTTTAAAAAACCGAAAACGGGCGTCCTGCCTTTTAAATTGAGGGCGAATAGCGCAGGTTTCGGCTCTACGATACGCGGGAACTACGCGCTCGATCGGCGCCATTTTGGTCTTGTTTGAAAGAACGCGTTTTCAGCTGTTTTTTTTATTCAGTAAGCAACATTGAGCGTTTCCCCGGCTCGAAAAACGGGGCCTCAAAGACGAAGAGCTGCGCTCACTGCCATTGGCTAAACGGCGCACGTGACTGAAATGGCGCTTTCCGGTTGGCTGGAAGCTCGCGGCTTGCGCCTGCATACGCGACCCGACGCCATTTTGAAAGGGTTACCGCTGTGACGCCTCGAAATCGGCAGAGCACTCTGAAGCTTCTGATCGTATCGCCATGCCTGGAAACGCAAAAAAAGTATCGGACCGTGCACGCATTTGGTCGCAGGAAACGCAAAGGTCGTGGGAGAAAGTCTACGAAGTCATCAGAGCCCTTGGTTGACTCCGACGAACGATGTGTCGACGCTCCGCGGCCGTTCAGCGATGGTGCGACCGAGCGCGTTGCCTCCGACGACGATGACGGTGAAGCGAACTCCGGACGACTACGAATCGATGCCAAGGTGGTGACAAACGTCGAAGTTGAAGAAAATCATGCCCGGGAGAAAGCGACGCTCGACCGGCTTTCATCGGCGCCAGCAACTGCACGGAAAATTGACTTTTTCACCGCGAGTTGTAGCGAGGCAACCGCACAGGACTCGGACCACGCTGCTCCTTATCTGCTTATGCATCTAGATATCCTAAACGCGATAATGGGTGCCTTGTGTTGCAAAGCCTGCCACGGACCGGCTACGATCGTCAGAGGGGATCGGGACTACGGACTTGCCGTGAAAGTGCTAGTGCAGTGTGAAAGGTGCGGCGAGATCGCGAATGAATGGACTTCGCCCCGCGCGAACGGCACGAAAACGTGCAATCCGTTTGAAGTAAATCTTCTCGCTTCGAGGGCGATGGTGGCTACCGGCAACGGCCAAACGAAAATGAATGATATTTTCGCAACAATGGGCATCTCACACCGCGGTATGCACCACAAGACGTTTCAGCGGCATTTGAAGAACACGCTGGCACCCGCTGCAACGCGAGCGGCTGAGTCCGCTATGAGCGAATGTGCGGAAAAGGTTAGAACAATTTATGATGACTTGTGCTTCGGCCACCGAGGCAATATTGCCGTTAGCTACGACGGCACGTGGAAGACGCGAGGCCATTCTTCCCACATCGGCGTGGGCCAGTTATCGAATTATTTAGTGGCTACGTGTTGGACTACGTCGTTCTTTCCAACTTTTGCCTAGGCTGCGAGGTGGGTCCAAAGCCTAGTAGTGAGGGCTATCAAGAATGGAAGGCTAACCACAAATGCCAAAAAAATACGAACAGCAAAGCGGGGCAAATGGAAGTGGAGGCGGCTCTAATTCTATTTCAGAGGTCGCTTGAACGCCATGGCCTGCGCTACACAACTATGCTGTCTGATGAAGACTCTAGGACATTTTGCGCCATACAAGACGCCAAGGTGTATGGTTACATTGACGTGCAGAAGGAAGACTGTATTAATCATGTACAGAAACGGATGGGCACCGCATTGAGAAACCTGGTGCAGAAACAAAAGTGCGATGGGAAAAGAGGCCTTGGTGGGAAAGGCAGGCTCACAGGTGAGCTGATCACCAGGCTGAGCACATATTATGGCCGGGCTCTGAAATCGCATGAAGGTGACGTGGGCGAGATGCAAAAGGCTGTGATGGCCACATACCGCCACGTCACCTCCACTGATGAATGCTCGGACCACAGTCTGTGCCCAGCTGGTGAAACTTCATGGTGTCGGCACAATGCCGCAAAAGCAAAGGGTGAGCCCGACCCCAGGCATGCCTACAATCTACCGAAAGACGTGGCAGAGGCATTACTACCGGTTTATACCCGGCTTTCGGAAAGAGCCCTGCTTCAGAGGTGCGAACGCGGCAAAACGCAGAACTCCAACGAGAGCCTACATTCGGTAATCTGGAGTTTGGCCCCCAAGGAGCACCATGCGTCCCTGTTCGCTGTTGAAGCAGCTGTTGCAGAAGCAGTGCTGCGCTTCAACACGGGCAATTTGAATTCTGCAACGGCAATCTTAGGTGAAATGGACATGAATGCGACAAGTACTGGTGCCAGGAGAGCGAGAGAAAAAGACCACCGTCGCAGCATTGTCTCCTATCGTTGCAGAAAATTGATGCATCAGCAATTGAGGACTTCTACGGTCTCACGTCGGACACGCCAAAGACATCAGAGTCGGGCTACATTCTCTTTTACCAGTCAAGGGAGTGACGTCTGCGCAGGCATGGAGCAAGGGGAAAAGGGGTATGAGGTTCCCCACTGTGCGCACTGTGCCTCATGCCAGAGTAGTGACAACTTTTGTCTTCTCGCTCCCCGGCCACCACTGACCAAGGTGTGTGCAATAGAGGCAGGCCGGGAGCAGAGGTGGCGGCCATCTTCTTTTATCTGTTGTCTCCACATCACACGGAAAGCATCAAAACTCTGGACGAAAGATCTGCATGACAGCACAGCGGCGCAAGACTTGTTGCATTTTGTAAAGGAAAAGATTGGCGGAGTTCTGCAGCGGAGGCACGACGAGACACGGCATCTCGGGCGGGTAGTTTATTTGCGGCTGTAAAGGAAATTTTGTCAGAACAAATGGTGTGTAAATAATAAAGTTTTTTTTTTACAGCCGCATGACAGAAAAGAGGCTATCAACAGCGAAGCAGACTCCCGGTTTTAACTCTGCTGAAGTTTTTTCTCTGCTTGTGACAGCAGACAACTCTGATTTTGTGACCTGGGTCATAGCATCTAAGGTGACGAATCATGCCGAGATTCCAGAGTGCTGGAGCTGCCTCGCTGTTGCGTAGTGGTTTGTAGAGATATAGTGTTCTAGGTTTTCTGGGGGATACAGGGGCTGTGTACAGATTAATTTATGGTCACTAGGATTTTATTGAGATGATGGAAAGTTCTAGCTTCGGGGGCTTTTGGGAACAACTGGACAAGTGTCACCTTCTACAGTGAATAGGCAATACGAAGCGTATTACGAGAGTATTCGAAGCGCGAAGGCGTTATCTTCTTTTGTTATTGTTGTTGTTATTGTTGTCATTCTCAGTTCTTAACGTTGGTTCTTAAATAATTCATTAGTCATGTGACTCAGAAGTAAGGAAAGAGTGAGAAATCCTTGCTCTTTTGCATTTTGGGTGAATATTTTTCGATAACGGCTTTTTTCTTTTGTTAGTGGGATCATTAAAAAAGATAAGTGAATTGCAAAGTTAGTCAAGAAAGGAAGGAATCAAGAGTGCCCATCAAAACAGAATTGTACAAAGGACACCAGGCATAGTGTGTGGTGAGAATGTGTTTCTGTTTGTAGCATTATGCAGCACATGTAAAAAGTGTAAGAAGAGTAAGAGCCTCATTCACCGTGTATAATATTGTACAGTTGCATTGCCTCTTATTAAAGCTTTGGATGCACTTGTGCGTGTTTGTGTGTCTCATTTTGTTGTACTTTCTTATCCAGATAAACTGCAGACCCGTAAAAGATCTAGCACATGTTGTTACATACTTAGAAATGATTGAAAACATTTCTCATGGATACGTAGTATTGAGACCACGAGACACAAGAGGAAGCTGAATATTCTCGTTGCTTGGGCTGGCAGCCCAGAGTTTAGATGTGAGAGTACACCAAGGACATGTACTGTGCCGTTCGACAAAAGAAGAAAAATTTTCATGCCATTCAAATCACTAATAGAACGAGCATGCTAGAAACGCACCTTTAGAAACGTGTAGAAATCGGCTGTAGAGAAGTACCACAGTGAGTAGTATCAATCACAGCTGAACAGGAAATAGGCTATTTGTAATGTAACTGAACAATTGAAGAAAAATCAGATGACCTGGTTATGAGAAGTAATAATTGTTAGGGTTTAACGTCCCAAAACCCCCATATTATGAGAGACGCCGTAGTGGAGGGCTCCGCAAATTTCGACCACCTGGGGTTCTTTAACGTGCACCTAAATTTGAGTACACGGGCCTACAACATTTCCGCCTCCATCGGAAATGCAGCCGCTGCAGCCGGGATTTGATCCCGTGACCTGCGGGTCAGCAGCCGAGTACCTTAGCCACTAGACCATCGTGGTGGATTAGATTATGAAAAATAACAAGCACTGGGTTGAAAAACTTTGTGTAGTGATTTGTGCACTTCTGAATCCTGCATTGTGCACATACACACGTGCACGCACACCAATATTTTGAGTCAGAAGAGCGCCTGTTTGGCATTATTAATATTATTATTATTGTGATGTAACGGTGAAGGCAACCATTATTAGGCCCAGAAGACACGATGAAGCGACCACGCCCAAGGCACAGAACTCAGACAAGCCAAGTCCCCACAGCAGATGAAGATGACGACCACTCATGATGATGAATATGTGTAAAGATAGTAGATGTGCTTAATGAATGCCTACACTAACTCCCCCCCCCCCCCCCCCACGTGAAAGCGGTCATCCTGACCGCAGTTCAAAGCGAAGATGAACGCCGTATGAAAGGCTTCATGCGGGATACGTGGACTATTTCTGCTGCCCTGTAGCGGCGGTCCGTCGGAAGAAGAACGGGTGCCATGCGATAATTCACAGGATACGTTTGCTCCAAGACAGTGTAGGGGCCAATAAAATGTAATTGAAACTTCTCGCACAGTCCGGGAGTGCGAATGGGTGTAAGAAGGAGGACTTCGTCGCCAGGGCTGAAAGACACGGCACGATGAGAGGCATAATATTCAAGCTTGCGATCCTGTTGCTTGGCTTCAGTGTTGACGCGAGCCAGCTGGCGGCAATGAAGTTATTAAACAAGCTCGCAACAACAACCAATTCACGTAACCAGTTCACGTACGTGTGAATACCGGCGATGTTCTGCTTGATGGTCGCTGGCCTCCGCCGCCCCGCGAGAATGAGGAGCACTTCTTCCTCCGTGAGTGAGGCGCAGCCGTGGTCGGCAGGTATTTGTCGTACGCCACGAAAAGTGGGTGGTGCTAGGGCGAGGCATGCAGTGCGCATTTTATTGCGATAGCAATTATGGACAGTCTCGGCTGGTTTTTGCCGCCGCCACCATTCACGTGTATATATATATCGCCTTTCCGGCTGGGGTCTTCTGCGCGCGCGCTTACCTCGTGAGAGAACAAGGGTCGGGGGGGGGGGCAGCGATCAACTCGCAGCTAATGCCGCCACAGCAGGCGGGAGCTTCTACGGGCTGCGTTATCAAGACGAAAAAACGGTGCCACAAGTGTACCTGGCCGTCGCTCTAAACATAAAAAACTGCCTCCAGTGGTGACACACGACGTATAGCCCTTAATACCAGCATGCGCTGCCCACGGAAGGCGCTTCTCATCAACGCAGTCACTGCGCAGGAGCTTTGTTGTGGTCATCTACTGTGACCGCGCCGAAGGAAACTTGGTTGATTAGCAAGCGCATGTTTGCTACAATCAATATTGCTCCTAAAAATGCTAGCCTTCGAATATGTTGCTATCACATTCGAATATGTTGCTATCACATTCATTGCTTCGCCATTTTGACGAAACTGTGACTTTTTAATGTGACGCCAACATTGTTCATAATTAGCCCCGCCGCGGTGGTCTAGTGGCTAAGGTACTCGGCTGCTGACCCGCAGGTCGCGGGGTCGAATCCCGACTGCGGCGGCTGCATTTCCGATTGAGGCGGAAATGTTGTGGGCCCATGTGCTCAGATTTGGGAGCACGTTAAAGAACCCCAGGTGGTCTAAATTTCCGGAGCCCTCCACTACGGCGTCTCTCATAATCATATGGTGGTTTTGGGACGTTAAACCCACATATCAATTAATCAGTCATTGTTCATAATTAATTCTACAACACGTCGGAGCACTTGCGTTAAATTTTTTTTTTTAGATTGGCTGTAGGTGTCACAGAACGAGCGCTAAAAATGGGCGCGCCACCCAATTCTTGCGATAACGGGCGGGAGAAACGCCGCGAGGTCAAAAAGAAAAAAAAAAGAGGCAAACGTCCAAGGCTCCCCGGGCGCGCGCTCTCCCCGCAGAAGCGTGGCTTCACGACGAACCTCCTCACCTCACAACGGCGGCCGAGCAAGCACTCGATTTTTCCAGAACGAAAGGGGCGTGGTCATACCGAGTTGACTCATCGGCCGGAGAGGGCATTCCAACCATCTCGCCCTCTTCCCAGCTTTCGCTGCGTATCGCGCCGACGAAATGACGAGAGCGTCTGGAATGCCGCGCGCAAGGTATTTAACCGAGCAGCCGAGATGAGAAAGCAGGAGGAGACGGAAGTGAGCGCCAGAGCGCGTAGGGATTCCGCCGTGTAGTCGGCGAAGGTTTTGGTCCGTAGGGACGAAGCCGGAGATGAAGAGGATTTCCACCTGAGGGGTGAAGGCTCGGGCTACAGGCAAGAGCGTGTGTTGACCGCTTTCGAGCGAAGACCCGTGGCAACAGCTGCGGGTGTGAAGCCGACGTGTTCCGGCGAAGAAGTTGAAGTTTAAAGAGTGGCCAATTGAAGACGGGAGGTTTCCTGGAAGAGAAACTTCAGGGGCCAGCGGAACGACAACAACGCTGGACTTTGAGTGAGTGATTCTCGGAAGAGTATCATTCAGACTTTTGTTCCAAGGACTTTGGACTGAATAGGTTTTCTATCTCTTTAGTCTTTAAGGGTCTTGGTTGTTCAATGCATGCGACTGCATTGTAGTGTGTACTGTTGTCTGTGTCCGTTGTTCGAGTGTGGCTAATTGTACTGTGTAGTGTGTTGATTGATTGGTGACATATTGTACTCGGCTATTGTGGAGTGAGCATATTGGTGTATTGTTTTTCTGATCTGCCATTATTGAGAATATAATTTTGTTTGTTTATCAACTCTCGGCTCTGACTTGTTCTTTGGGCCACCGCCGGCGTCTGCTGGCGCACCAATAAGGACCACTTCTAAATTGTCCACGCTTTCGTGGTGCGGTTCGGGGGGCCGATACTTCGGCTCTTGGAATTAGCCTGGCGATCGCCTCCTTAATTAACGGGACCGGTGTGACAATTAATCTGGCGTCCGCGACAGGACCTTTTGGTGCACAGTGTGTCCAAAGAAGTGAGAAAGAGCCTCGAATTGTTGATACTGCTATCGGAACGATTTTGTGTGTTGTTCAGTGTTCTCGTTAACGAGTGCAGGGGAGTGTTCCGATAGACTGATTTAGGCAGATACTTTTTGCACGCGGCAAGGTTTTATTTGCGAGTTGCGAGACACCATGGATCTCGAAAAGTTAGTCGCTCTTGGTGAGAAGATGGGTCTTTCTGGCGCCGAACTACGGAAATGGGTAAGCCAGAAGGAGAAAGAGGCGGTGGAGAGAGAGAGGTTGGCAGCTGAGAGAGCCAAGGAAGAAAAAGCAGCTGAGTTGGAGAGAGAGAGGTTGGCAGCTGAAAGGGCGAGAGAAGAAAGAGAGGCAAAGGAGCGACAGCTGAACGAAGAAGGAGAAGAAAGGGAACGGCAGCGGCAGCACGAGATGGAACTCGAGCGGCTCCGTTTGCAACAGCGAAGTGAAACCCCCGTCCAAGCTAGAGTTGAAAGCAGCGAACGGGAAGATCATGGCTTCCGCTTGAACCCAAGCAAGCTGCTCGTAGCGTTTGATGAAAGGAAGGACGACCTAGACGCGTACCTCCACAGATTTGAGACGATTGCGAGGAGCCAGAATTGGCCAGAACAGCAATGGGCAACTGCTTTGAGTACTTGCTTGAGTGGTGAAGCGCTCAGTGTGTACGGTAGGCTGACGCCGACCGATGCAGCCAACTATGCCAAGGTGAAAGCTGCTTTGCTGAAGCGATTTAGATTTACTGTAGAAGGATTCCGGGACAGATTTCGGACAGGAAAGCCAGCTGATGGGGAGACGGCTACGCAGTATGCCGCCCGACTTTGCCATTATTTCGACAGATGGATTGAACTTTCAGGGACAGCACAGGAGTACGATAAGCTTAGAGAGCTCCTAATTAGAGAACAATTTCTTACTAGTTGCCACCCAAGCCTGTCGCTGTACTTGAAAGAGAGGAAGGCTGACTCACTTGAAGACATGCTTGAATTGGCTGATCAATTCTTGGAAGCGCAAGGTGGCACTAATTTGGCCAAGGTCAAGAAGGATTGTCCCGATGATTCGAAGAAATTGGCTCCTGAAGAAAAGAAGCGTGCACCAGAGAGCATTCCGCGATGTTTTCTGTGTAACCGAGTGGGTCATCGCGCGAAAAACTGTCGAACGATCTTTAGGAACCCTACGGTAGTAAAATGTTTTAAGTGTGGTCAGACTGGGCACAAAGCAGATGCATGTCGAAACGGAGCGAGTCAAACTCACCAGGTATCCTGTGGGCAAGCAGCACCGAAATCTGATAATAATGCCGTCACTGATGGATTCGTAGAGTTGAAGAATGGGGAGAAAATTCCTATTGTGGGTGCTGTAATGTCAAAACAGCCAACCGGTGTT